TTCTCAAACTGTTCAGAAAGAAGAGATTACATTTCCTAGTGCCCATCAATAAAAGTCTACTTTCTGTTGTATAATGAATACCACCTGGCCACTCTAAAAAAATGTCTAACGAACAGATCATCTCTTTTTAGGAGACATTCTTATCTTAGAATTGTGCTAAACAAAAGATCAAACCAGTATTTTTAAAAACCATATGTTAAAATACTCAGATCCTAGATGACAAGTAGCTATAAATTATTTTGGTTATGAAACATAAAATCTTAATAACCACAAGATCCAGCATATGTTGATAAAAAGTTTAGATTCCAGAAAAAAATGACTATAAAACTCTGTCATGTGAACTTCTAATCCTAAAATCATAAATTTAAAGTAAGACAAAAGGTATCTCCAGTACTTTGAAACCCATCATGCTGATAAAAATTTAGATGCTAGAAAATAAAAAACTTAAAAACTGACAGTAACAACAAAATCTTTCATTTCAAATGCATAAGGACTGGTGAGGAGTTATTCCAAGAGCAGTTAATCTCAGGTGAGAGTTGGAAACTTGTAAATGTGCCAATCATCCAAATGTTATACATAATAATATCTTGAAAAATTGTTAAAAGACGAGGCCTTTAGCCTCTATCCTTATTCCTCCGTCAACAAATGCTCTGTATGATGTAAAAAGTAAATTTGGTAGATACTGGGAGCATACTGCCAATGTTGTATAATCTACCCAAACTAATAAAAAATTAAAGACGTCATGTTTGAGTAACTGTGCATAGAGTTAAGGCCTCAGTCTTGTTAAGCTTCTTTTGTAAACTTACAAAATATGTTACGTAAAATTCAACTGCTATTACATAAATCAAAACATGCTCAAATCATATATATCGTTCATATGCAAAACACACCTATCAAAGGACAATTGCACTGAAATGGTAACCGACACTTGGCGCGAAAGTTATGTAAAATTCCACTAATTAAACATAACCTAACTTTACCTCCCCTACGTACACCACACACACCTTCATAGCACTAAGATTGTAATTAACACTTACAGTCTAGCTAATTTGTAAATTTGCTGACACCCTTCCTTGACAATTAGTTCTGATTTGATAACTACTGGAAAACACCCGTGGTTATACAATGTGGAATGACAGGAAAACAAGTTACACAACATAGAAAATTTGCTGTGTAAGTGTCTTCCTGGGGCCCATTTCACACACACACAATATTACTCCCTGAAAAAGAGGGGTAAACTTTTAGGCTAAAATTATTGTTTACTTTGACCTAAGATAAAGTAAAAAAAAATAAATAAATAAAAGCCAGGAAATTGGTTTTAGAGATTGGTTTTAGGCCAATATGTGCTTAATCAGAAATCTTTTATGCTAAACAAGCCTGTAAAGGACCTTTGCACTGAAATGGCAACCTATAGACTTGTTAATTTGAAAAGTAGCTGACACCATTCCATGAAAATTAGTTTTGATTTTATAACAACTGGAAAACATCCAAGTTATGCAACATGAAAAATTTGCAGTGTAGGTGTCTTTCTGGGGCCCATTTCACAAAAAGAAAAATTGGTCTGTACTTTTAGGCTAAAATGACTGTTTACTTTGACTTAAGATAAAGCCAAAAAAATGAAAGCCAGGAAATTGGTCTAATCTTTAAGGCCAACATGTGCTTAATCAGAAAACCCTTTTATGCAGAACAAGCCTGCAAAGGACTACTGCACTAAAATGGTAATTAACAGACTTGTTAATTTGAAAAGTAGCTGACACCATTCCATGAAAATTAGTTTTGATTTTATAACAACTGGAAAACATCCAACTTATACAACATGAAAAATTTGCAGCGTAGGTGTCTTTCTGGGGCCCATTTCACAAAAAGAAAAAAATACATTTAAAATTGGTCTGTACTTTTAGGCTAAAATGACTGTTTACTTTGACTTAAGATAAAGCCAAAAAAATGAAAGCCAGGAAATTGGTCTAATCTTTAAGGCCAACATGTGCTTAATCAGAAAACCCTTTTATGCAGAACAAGCCTGCAAAAGACAACTGCACTTAAATGGTAATCTACAGACTTCTTCATTATTTAATTTGCTGACACCATTTTATGAAAATTAGATTTGATTTTATAACAGGAAAATATCCAAGTTTTATAACATGGACAATTTGGTGTGTAGGTGTCTTTAGGCCCATTTCATGAAAAAAAAAAAATTAAACCTCCAATGGGACTCCATTAAGACTTATTTTTTAGGCTGAAATTATTGTCTACTTTAACCTAAAGTTTAAAAGAAATTAAAGCCAGGAAATTGGTCTAATCTTGAAAGCCAATATGTGCTTAATCAGAAATTTCTTTTATGCAGAACAAGCCTGCAAAGGACTACTGCACTAAAATGGTAATTAACAGACTTGTTAATTTGAAAAGTAGCTGACACCATTCCATGAAAATTAGTTTTGATTTTATAACAGCTGGAAAACATCCAACTTATGCAACATGAAAAATTTGCAGCGTAGGTGTCTTTCTGGGGCCCATTTCACAAAAAGAAAAAAATACATTTAAAATTGGTCTGTACTTTTAGGCTAAAATGACTGTTTACTTTGACTTAAGATAAAGCCAAAAAAATGAAAGCCAGGAAATTGGTCTAATCTTTAAGGCCAACATGTGCTTAATCAGAAAACCCTTTTATGCAGAACAAGCCTGCAAAGGGCAACTGCACTAAAATGGTAATCTACAGACTTCTTCATTATTTAATTTGCTGACACCATTCCATGAAAATTAGATTTGATTTTATAACAACAGGAAAATATCCAAGTTATATAACATGGACAATTTGGTGTGTAGGTGTCTTTGGGAGCCATTTCATGAAAAAAAAATTAAACCTCCAATGGGACTCCATTAGGACTTATTTTTTAGGCTGAAATTATTGTCTACTTTAACCTAAAGTTTAAAAGAAATTAAAGCCATGAAATTGGGTCTAATCTTGAAAGCCAATATGTGCTTAATCAGAAATTTCTTTTATGCAGAACAAGCCTGCAAAGGACTACTGCACTAAAACGTTAATTAACAGACTTGTTAATTTGAAAATTAGCTGACACCATTCCATGAAAATTAGTTTTGATTTTATAACAACTGGAAAACATCCAAGTTATGCAACATGATAAATTTGCAGTGTAGGTGTCTTTCGGGGCCCATTTCACGAAAAGAACAAAATACATTTAAAATTGGTCTATATTTTTTAGGCTAAAATGATTGTTTACTTTGACTTCAGATAAAGCCAAAAAAATGAAAGCCAGGAAATTGGTCTAATCTTTAAGGCCAACATGTGCTTAATCAGAAAACCCTTTTATGCAAAACAAGCCTGCAAAGGGCAACTATACTAAAATGGTAATGAACAGACCTCTTCATTATTTAATTTGCTGACACCATTCCATGAAAATTAGATTTGATTTTATAACAACAGGAAAATATCCAAGTTATATAACATAGACAATTTGGTGTGTAGGTGTCTTTGGGGGCCATTTCATGAAAAAAAAAAGAAAATAAATAAATAAATCCAGAAAAATAGGACTTATTTTTTAGGCTGAAATTATTGTCTATTTTAGCCTAAAATTTAAAAGAAATTAAAGCCAGGAAATTGGTCTAATCTTAAAGGCCAATATGTGCTTGATGTGAAATTCCTTTTTATGCAGAACAAGCCTGCAAAGGGCAACTGTACTTAAATGGTGATTAACAGACTTACAAATCCGAATTTGTCACCATTTCATGAAAATTAGATTTGATTTTATAACAGGAAAACATCCAAGTTATGCAACATGGAAAATTTGCTGTGAAGGTGTGACAAAGGCAAGAAAAAAAATAAAGCCAGGAAATTGGTATAATCTTAAAGGCCAATATGTGCTTAATCAGAAGTCCCTTTTATGCAGAACAAGCCTGCAAAGGACTACTGTACTAAAATGGTAATTAACAGACTTACAAATTTGAAATTTGTCACCATTCCATGAAAATTAGATTTGATTTTATAACAGGAAAACATCCAAGTTATGCAACATGGAAAATTTGCTGTGAAGGTGTGACAAAGCCAAGAAAAAAATGAAAGCCAGGAAATTGGTTCAATCTTTAAGGCCAATATGTGCTTAATCAGAAGTCCCTTTTATGCAGATTAAGCCTGCAAAGGGCAACTGTACTAAAATGGTAATGAACAAACTTACACATTAGAAATTTTGTCACCATTTCATAAAATTAGGTTTGATATCATAATAGGAAAACATCCAAGTTATATAACATGGAAATTTTGCTGTGTAGGTGACTTTCTGGAGCCACATTTCATGAAAAAAAAATCCTACCCTGAGGTATAATATTTTAGACTAAAATTACAACGTTGACCTAAGATAAAATCAAGAAAAAAATTAAAGCCAGGAAATTGGTCTAATCTTTAAGGCCAACATGTGCTTAAACAAAAATCCCTTTCATACAAAACAAGCCAGCAACTTCACTGAAATGATAATTTACAGACTAACTACTTTGTAAATTTGCTGTCCCCATTCCATAATAATAAGTTTTGATTTTATAACAATAGAAAAACAAGTTATACAAGTTTATCTTAGAGCACTTTCAGAACAGCAGACTAAGGGTGCATTCCCAGAGATTTAGATCGATCCAGAGATTAAGATTTAGATCGATCTAACTCCCTGGGGGTTCACGCTAAATTGCAGTCAGCCGAGAGCGCACCATAGTTAATTACCTCCTTACAGCTTTTAGAAGGCGGGATAGACGCTTAAGCCAGCTAAGCTGACAGTAATCTAGTGAGACTCCCCACAAGGATGGATCCATCTAAAATCTATGGAAATGGGGTCGAACAGTGCATTCACAACAGCAGACTACAGATCAGCGGATCAAATATGTAGTTAACAGGTTCACAAGGGTAAGTTATACCTCTACTGTTTACAGATTCAACTTTTTATCTCCAATCCATTGATCATTTTCTCAAAAACAGAAGGAGATTCTGACAGAGAATAACTTTAAAGTTGGTTTGTGCTATATACCTGTACCACAAAAGTGGCCGACAATGGTGTTGTTGCCAAGAGAATGTCACTTTCATCACGTTTTTCCACTGACGATACAAATAATACAAACAATATTGTATAAGTCACTTGTTTCATAAAGGCAATATACTGGCTATGGTTTCATAAGCAGTTTGATAACCAAAACCACTTTTGAAATGTAGAAGATGGTTGTTGGTTAACAAAGCTTTTATTTTACCTAAAGAAACCAAACATGGGATTTGGGGACAAAACATGAAATGAATATTAAATATTCTGCTGTTTGAAGCCATGTCTTTATACTTCAATTTTTCAATAATCAACCTATGAAACTCCTAAATCAAAAACACCTTAAATTTTAAAGCCCACATTATCCTTTGTTTTCTTAAAGGACATAGCTTCAGGAACACACATAATTGGCATTTTCAATTCAAACCAAAATTCAAATTTTAAGGAGGGGTATTGCTTTTTTGAAATATACAATTAATATTTTCCTCAAAATAAAAAAAAGCTATAATTCAATGAGTGAGTTCTGAATGAATCAACAGTTATTAAGACCACCATGTCTTCCTGTAGATTTCAGAAGAAGAAAAATGAGTAGTTTTTGCAAGATTTGTAGGCAGAAAATATGACTTGGGACATCTTTAAACATTGATGGTGTACCTTCAAACATAAAAGGCTACCTCCTAAGCAAAGGGGTAGATAAAAGCAAAAAAAATCCCATGTTAGGCTCTTTTTGTGTTAATAGAATTAATTACTTCATATACTGTAATATTTTAGTGAGTATCTAAAATGACACATAATAAACTATGATGTCTCTTAAATAAAATAAGACATATATGCTAAATACATAAATTACCATCACAGGCTAAAATACTATTCTATAGGTTAAAAATGTGTTTGTTAAAATACACATAATTATAAACTTAAGGTTTCACAAAGCTAGTTTAATTTTCTCATAATACTGTAAACTATCATTTTTACAAAAAAAAGTTGTTCCTTCATAAGCACCTTCTTTTAAATTTTGGCTAAATAAATGTGATAACAGAATCAAGCTGTAAAGCACCAGATTATTCAATTATAATATACAGCTATGGGGAATTCTCCTGGATAACTCCCAGCACAAGGAAACAGACTAATTGCATTTCTGTTGTGCGGCAGTGACTGCATCATGGACAGTAAGGTACACCACTGACATGCTGTTTTTCTCAAAGAATCCAGTTTTGTCCAACAACTCTAGAACACTAGCTGTTAAAAAGATTAAAAAACACCTCTGTCAAAATGTATGTACAAATATGTCATGAAGAGTTACTTTTATCAGAAATTATTTTTATCCTACCCAAATGTTTTTGCAACAAAATTACACCTGTAAGCCAAATCATTTTCATGGAGAGTTCCTTTTTATTCAAATTAGTCAAAGTATTCTACACTAAAGGATACTGACAAATAATTTACAGTAGTTTTTTCAATTAAAAATGCCTCAACTACTTTGATGATCTCCCAATATCTTCTATCTGTGTCCTAGGATTGGGAAGCAAAATCTAAAACTGTCTAGAGGTTGAAATTTGTAAGAAATATGGGTTCAGCAGAAGTGGCATTAGATAAAATGGTGAAAACTACCATACACAAAGATGTTTTACAGTTGTTACTCATGTGTAGATCTGTCCTCAGTAGAACTACGCAATTGACTTATTATTATATCAAATCTCTCTCTCTCTCACACACACACACACACACACACGCGCACTGTTCCAGTTACTTACATTTACAGTTGGCTAGGAATATTGAAATTCCAACATCTCCATACTCTGCCACCACCTGAAATAGTTGAAAAAGTCATATACTTAAAAACAGAAGTTAAACTGAAGGGTGATCGATGCATCTGTGTTAATATTCAACGGTTAACATGTAATGTTGCCAACACATTAGAACATTAATTCACTGCATGAAGTCCAACCAACTGCACTCTCTCTGTGTGTGTGTGTGTGTGTGTATGTGTGTGCGTGTTGCAACTTTTGAAACTAGATCAAGAATAATTATAATGATAATCACAGGTGCCCCCTCCCCAAGTAGCCGAAATCGTTCCCTTTTTTACTGGTCTAATAAGGTTAAATGTGACTTTGACTTTGACCTTTTGCCCTCAAAATTGATAAAATTGTCAAACTAGTTAAACCAAAAGGCATGTGCAAAAATACACTCTACTTTTTGGAATATCTTCAAGGGGGTCATACAAGTAACAATACTGATTAAGCTATTTCAAAGTGCTATAACAAGGGCAAATCCAGAGATATTTTCTGAGTCTTCCAAATTATCTTAGTTGAAACATCCTCCATTTTTGACTGTCTTCCAACAGAAAAAATTAGATACCAGTCAATGTGAACTTGAAAAAATTCTGACAGTCTTCCAGAAGACCCATAAGTTGGTTTCTGTCTGCCCCTGTGTTACTTTATGATCCTGGCCCTCAAACATGCTAAATGACTGATTCAGACCTTCAAAATTATCTTCTTAACAATCCTAAGGAAGACATCCTTACTTGTGTGATAACTTTCGCCCCCAAAGCATCTATGTATGTAAATGCTTCACAATCCAAAATGATATGGTGCACAGGGAGATCTGACTTAGGGCTGTCTGCATCTCCACTATAGGTGTCGCCAGTGGTATCCCCCATCTCTAAGGCAATAGGGACGGTCGTTTGGTCTTCTGCCTGAAAAAATGTGATTTTGAAAAAATAAAGTAACCAAAGATAATCAAAAGAAGAAAAGTATACCACGATTAACTGTCTGTTTATGGACAAAGTGTCGCATTCTAAACACACTTTTAATACATTCTGTTAACCACTTCTTGTTGAACTTCTCTGAAGACAAGTAGTATGTACTTTTTGGTCATATTTTAACAGATAGGTACCATGCATAAATACCACAAAATACACAATTTTGTCCCTTCTAAATGAACCCTGCAGTCTATCAACCAGCTTGACCCAGTTTGAAAATGTTCGAAATCCACACCCTGGTTTGAGCATTGCAGTTCAAATGGAATACGGCGTAATTTGAAAAAACAATAATTATGACTGGGTTATGGACTTTTAATTTTAGTGGATTGTAAGGACTGTGGTTATAATAAATGACTGGAAAGTAGCATTAAAGGTTGCTAAATTGGACAAAATTACTGTTTCCTTTTCTTGTTAATTTTTTTGGGGGGGCTTACACTGTGCACCTTAAACATTATTTTCTAATTTCATTTTATTTATTAAGCTATCCTTCACCAGAAAATGGTTAATGAAATGGTTAAAAAAAAACATTTTGAAAACATCATTATATGCATTTAAATCTAATCAGATAAAAACACAATAAAAGTGAATGTTCTCTTGTCATTTTGGTTGAAGTATCTCTTAATGAAAAATTAATTTAAAAAAATATACACAGTTACAGGGGAGAGCAATTTTTTATACAGGTGATATCATATAAAAAACTACATGTGAATTTCAATTTTCTCCCCTTTTCTAACATCCCATTTCCATAGATTTTTAGATCGATCTATCCCTGTGGGGAGTCTCACTAGATTACTGTCAGCTTGGCCGGCTTAAGCGTCTGTCCCACCTACTAAAAGCTGTAAGGGGGTAATTAACTATGGTGCCTGCTCGGCTGACTGCAGTTTAGCGTGAACCCCCAGGGAGTTAGGTCGATCTAAAACTTAAAGGGATAATAACTCTTCGTTTCGGCCAAAAAATGAATTTTCCTGGAGTAAACAACAATTTTCCCATACTTACCAATGGTTAATGAATCCATTTTTACATTCAAAGTTAGTCCCTGGTTTTTTTCTAAAAAGTTTGGTTTTTTGTTAAAATCTCTTAAGAGATTTTAACAGAGTATAGCCATCAATGGAGGTCACGTGATCTAAAGACAAGCTCTGATATCAGAATAATAGCTATAACTGCCGTTTTTTGTGATAAAACAGAATATATTATATTTCTATGAGTTATTCACAATGTTTTTATTGTGAAATGTAGATTTCATACAAAGAGTTATTATCCCTTTAATCTTTAGATCGATCTAAATCTCTGGGAAAGCACCCTAAAACTAAACTTGGTATCTACATTAGTGTTATAAGAAATGTTATGAAGAATTTCAAGTTCCATTATAATTATATGCATTGTAATAATTTGTTAAACGTAGAAAAGAGAGTGATTACAGTATTTAATACCGAGATGTCAAAGTGAATTTCTGAAGTATAGGCATTACCAGGCTGTCTGCAAAGTCAGCAGCGACTACAGTGCATCACATAACTCCAGTAAGTATAGTTGCTGATAAAGGAAATAAAAGGCTCAGTTAGATAAGTTGCTAAAAGAAAAAAATTATTACTCAGTTGGATTAGTTGCGCATGAAAGAAATATTCATCCTTGAAACAAACAATGACAGAAACATAAACATATGGAGAAATACTTCTGCACATGTACAAGCGCATAACATAAGCATACTTTATCAGGTAAAGCCTGTGCTTTAGTTGTCTGTTCTGCGTCGAAATTCTTCACGTCTTCTGCCTGGAAAAATGAGTATTATTTGGAAAAACAAATTAATATGAACAGAGCCAGTATGAGTTTTTTGTGGGACTATTCTTCACTCTGCTCATTTCACATTATTTTCTTATTTTATCATATTTAAATATTTGTCACAATGGTGAACATGAATGAAACATTACATAAAACATCATTATTTGCATTACAACATAATCTTTTACAAAACTTTTAAGAAAGCCATAAAATTAAATGTTCTTTTGTGATTTTGGCTGTAGTTGATCTCAATTAAAACTTTTCATGTCTACAAAAATATCTGTAAGAAGGCTAACTACCACTGACTAAAGTAGAGAACTAAGTAGATAAGTCACTGACAGTAAAGACTGTTATGGGGGCTATGCTTTATTTTTAGTTAAAGGGATAACAACCCTTCGTTTAAGACCCATATCTCTCAATGAATAAATTGTAACCAACTCATAGACATAAAATAAATTCTATTTTACCACCAAAACCGCGATTATTCTGGAATCTGTGCTTGCCATCTGACCACCTCCATATATGACTACCCTCTGTTATGGTCTCTCAAATAATTATTTAAAAAAAGACTACCTTTGAATGTGAGGAACAGATTCATTTACCAATGGTAAGTATGGGAAAATTGTCATCTACCCCAGGAAAATCCATTTTATGACCAAAATAAGCAGCTGTTATTCCTTTCATTGTCTGTAAGCTGGGTGTGTATGAAAATTTGTTCTTCTAGGGACACCCAGTATAAAGGCAATGACTGATGACTGAGAAAAATATGATAAGAGGTATCAATGGAAATAACTCAGTGATGTAGTTTAAGCTCTGCCTTGAAGATGTACTTTGATGTGTCAGGAGTACTGACTAAATGAAGGAGAAAAAGTAGAAAGCAATTAGTGATGAAATCTATACCCTAACCCCATTTTACTTGAAGCCTGTTTTTTTTTTTAAACCATTTTCATTCATGAAAACTAAACTGAGTACGCACATTGGTGTTCACTATAAGAAATGTTAGGGAGGATTTGACATTCCATTAATTTATACATGTAGTATGCAGTAGCATTTGTATTATGGAGAGTTTAGAGTTGTTTTTTCTTTAGTATAGGCATTATTAATCTGTCTGCAATGTCAGCAGTACATCAAAAATTCCAGTTAGAATAGTTGCTATTTAAAGAAACAAAGCCTCTGTCAGATTAGTTGCAAATAACAGAATCATTCATCTTAAAGCAAACACACAAATGACAGACACATAAAAACATACTGACACATGCACACATGAACCAAGCATACTTTATCATGCGGAGCATCTGCTTGAGTAGTCTGATCTGCGTCAGACTTCTTCATGTTGTTTGCCTGGAAAACATTGAACAAATTTTGAAAACAAAACCACACAGCAGTGGGGTTTTCAAAAATTACATGAATTTTTATCGCAGACATAAAATTTAACAAAAAATTAAAATCTACAAAGTGGTTCATGGTAATTTGTTGAACACGTGCTAATTTTTTTTATACATGATAACATAAATAACTATGTAACAAACAAGGGAATGACAAAATCATAGCAAAATTAATATGTACACATACTGGTGCACAAACATAACTGTATGCACAAATGCACTGGCATGCACTTAAAGTCACTTTAACACAAACACATACTTTATCCAGAGAAGCCTGCACTTCAGTAGCCTTCTCTGTATCAGACTTATTCATGTCTTTCGCCTGAAAAAAATTGTATTCAATTTTGGGAAAAAATACATTTATATGAACTGAGTAAAAATAGACTGGTCCATGGTAATTATGTATTTATTTTCTTTAACAGACACTAAACAGATGAAATAAACAACTTTGAAAGAAAAAAGCAAATGACAGCAACATAAAATATGTACTGATACACACAAATAACCAAGCATACTTTATCAAGTGAAGCCTGTGCTTCAGTTGCCTGTTCTGTATCAGATTTCTTCACTTCTTCTGCCTGAAAATTGTAATTAATTCATTTGGACAACTAATATCAACAAAGTAAAAAAGAGTAATGGAAATGAAGGATATCCACTGCATACCCATACATGCTTATTTTCTTTAACTGCCTCCCATAGATGATATAACCAACTTAGAAAGAAGCAAAAGACCAAACATCATTTAAAAAAAAATAAAAAACAGGTACACATAAACATACATATAAACACTTAATACATAAATAAACAAAAATATAAATAAATATATAAATAAAC